TTTCCCTGCTCTCCCTTTCATGAATAAAGGAGGGAGGAAAAAGCAATTCCCGTCTAAATGAGAAGAGTTGTTACACTTGCCCAGAATTCCCATCTACTGGACCAAAACGTCCTGCATCAATGTGTGAAAACTAAAAAGCCCATCACTCTATTACCTTACAAGGAAGTACTTTCAGATCATGAAGCTGACATGGTCTGAGGAAGGTGTGGAGGCATGGGGATCTGAAAAACTGTCATTATTATAATCTCTGGGTTTCAAGAACGGGATATAAAAGAAAGGGCCCTGAGGGTTTCAGGGTGACCTATCACAGGATGACTACCTGTCAACCATTCATCTCAACTCTGAGGTTCTGGGAGATCAGGAAACTGACAGGGCACTGCCTGAACGACATCACTGGAAAAGGGAAGGGACAGATGTCCCTGGAGAGAGCAGCGCAAGGATGATAGAGGACTAATCAGAAACATAACTAGTAATAACCAGCAGGACCTCAGTCCCACAACCATTGGTGTGAACCCACTCAGGACGTCCTGGCAAACATTACGAGGGACACTGCCTCGCTGCCTCTCTCCATGGGCAACAAATGTCATGTCGTAAGGGAAATTCCCATCAAAGAAGAGGCCCAGGGAGATGACTGAAGCCGGATTCTGCTATGTAAATCTGGTACCTTATCTCGGGCCAACAGATTATGTAGCAGCAACAACAAAAATAGCAAATTCCGATCATGTCAGGAAACACTCTTGCACCATCTGCGTAGGGAGAGCTGAGAAAAGTTCTCTCCGATTAATTTGGATTCCGTTTCCATTCTTCACATCTCCGGCATCTCCAAAACGAACTCTAGGATGTAGCTGGTGGTTGTTGAGGAAAAGGGCAATCCGAGAATCGCTTGAACTGAAAACAGTCCTGACCACATATTTAAATGCTTCACAACCAGAGCCTGAAACAGACAGGCTTCCTGCTCACTGCCTGACCAATGGAGCCCACATCTCAGACACAGAACACCTACCCACTTGAATTCCAGCTCATTTCCAGGTAACTAGCCATGAAGAACACTTGGGTTGCCTGCCATCTGTCACTTATTCCCTCCCACCCCCAAAGCCCCTCCTAGCTGGCAGTGTCCGCTTCCCACAACCCAGAAAGTCTTCTCTAGTCTTTTTTGCAAGAGGATTGTTCTATCGTCAGACCCGGGTTATGCTGACCCATGACCCCACAGGGAAGTCAGCTGGGAGCTGATGGCAAAATCCTTCCACTCCATAAAAAGAAATACAAAGCTAGACATCCTCCTCTCGGGGATTTCTGTCTACCCACATGTGATACCTAAATCCCCAGCAGCCTTTTGATGGCCATGGAAGAGCACATCGCTTCAAGAATGAGATGGAAAAGAGCCTGGATGTGCATGAACGCTGGCCTGGCCCTGCCTCTGGGGTCTTCCTGCTCATGATGAAAGTCCATCGCTATTCTTCCGGCAGCCTTTCATTAGGAAATAGGACATGCAGCTAAATCTGCCGGAGCCCCAACCTTTTTTTTTGCAATATCATTAAGTAATTGGGCAGAGCTGGTCGAGACAAACAAAAACTGGTAAAGGCTCCAGTCCCCATGCGAAAGGCAGAAGAGCAAGTTCAGGCTGTGAACACAGAAAACAGCATTGAAGAGCACGGGGTACCCCACATCTCAGTCTAGAGTAACCCCAGCGTGTGCCATGTTAAAGTCAGTACGCCATCACAATGTCGCGATGGGGAGTCGACGCTTCGATTCTCTGTACTTCCGATTTTTCTCCTTTCTCTACACTATCAGCGGATCGACAGACCCGGTCCCCTAGTTTGCTTCATTTTTACCCCACTAAAAACATCTAAAAGCAATCTTTCCACTCGGTGATACAAAGCACCTTCATCTGAGATCTAATTTCACTGAACCTTTGAATCCAAGATGCATTTCACCTTAAAAGGTTTTCTGGAGGATATTCGTCTTTTCAGCATTTTGAAAAGGGATCAGAGTTTGGAATCACCAAGCACAGAAGCCACTTCAGAGCAGTGGAGACCCTCAGAACCGGTTCAATGAAGAGTGTTCCGGCTTTGTGGGAAATGCGGCAGACCCGCTGCCATCACAATGCCTCAGGCTCTGTATCTGCAGTTCCTTCTGCTCCACAGGTCTCCCCCAAATGGCTGACTGGCTCATTTCTCCTCTCCTTCAAGTCTTCCTCAGATCTTAGTGAGCTCTTCCAGACCCCCGCCTTTCAAACAGAAACACCGTGCACACCCTAACTTCCTAACCCCCGATCCACAATTCATTTTTCTCTACTATAGGTCGTTAAGTCCACCTTTATTTCTCCTGGGTTTTGTCCCTTTCTGCTTAAAAGAATAGGATTAGAGCCTGTATTTGTGCACTATCAAATTCTCAGCACCTAACAGGCACTTAACAAAGATTTTTTTTTGCATGAAAGAAAGCATCCGATGGTCACCGTGTGTGACACACAACACTAAGACCGGTCTGGTGACTCAAGGATGAGAAAAGATCTGAGAGGAAAAGAGCAGGCGATCTATTTAAAACATGGGACCTGTTCAAGATTTTTGAGTTAACTACCAAAACTTTCATTACATGGGAATCAGAAATGGACGCATCTCTGAAAGCAATCCAAAGATCCAGGAAGGAAACAAAACTGGCGGCTGACTCCCTGACACAGTGATAATGCACTAGCGAAGAGAAGTTGAACTCCACATAACCACAGCAATTCAAATCCCCAGCCTGGTCCACCTGAGACACACCAGGCACAAACGAGAGTGCCCCAGATCCTGGAAGAAGGGGCTTGAAGTATGAAGAGACCCTGCAGAGTGCTCATCTCTGTCTCTCAATCTCACATGCACACCCACATGCTCAGTCATAGAAAAAAAAAAAAAGAAAAATAGAAAAAAAAGAACCAGCGCCAATAGATGGCGTGATGGATGAGGTGCTGGACTCCTACATGGCTGACCAGTTGAGTCCCAGACCTGGCAGATGGAAAGTCATACGAGGTGCATGTGCGTGCATGCACAAAATCTAGACAGAAGGGAGAAGGGACTGCGGTGAGGCCATCCCCTCAACGGGGCAATTTCTCATGTTCTCTCTTTCTGTCTCTTAAAAAAAAAAAAAAAAAAGATGAAGAAGAAGAAGAAAATAAATAAAAAAGAACCAAAAACAATATTCAGTTCTCTTTCCAAGAAGGGCAGTGATGTGACCACAGCCAACATTGATCCAAAAGGGGGCTGACAAGACAGAGCATGTGGAAAGCAAGATATTTCTGTTCCCTTGTATTTGGATCATTTCAAAAATTTATTTTTAAAATGAAGAAAGAGAAAGAAGAGGAAACCAGGGAGGGAATGCATTCATTCATCAGGACTAACCTCACATTCAGGACAAAACCAGTCCCCCTCTGGTTCCGATGTCAGTCTCAGACACTTAGCGTGATAAACCCGGGGACAGAGCTCACAGCAAAGGACTTGGCCTTCCCGGTGACAAACCCAGCAGTAGAAATCATTCCGTCCGTCCTGCGGTACAACATCAACAGGGTCTGTGGTGAGTGGCTGCTTCATATAGTAAAACGGACCATGTCTTAGTTCTGACTGAAATGTAGGCAAGAAAGACAGGTTTGGTTTCAAAACAAATGTGCATTCTCAAAAGGAATTTGAACAAGTACATTAATAACAACAAAAGCAAAGTACAGCATTTCACAAATTCGAACATCATACTAACTTCGGTGACTCCACTAGATCAGTAGCAGGTCATTAGATCTTAGGACTATTCTTTTCTCCCTTCTATTTTAAGAGGCCATGGACTGGACGCTAGGACCCACATGATGAGGCAGCTCTGGCAGGATAGGACACTGGCTGGAAGTCAGGCCTACCTGGGCTCAAATTTAACTCTACCATTACCTAGCAACATGACCCTGGACAGATTTCTTAACCTCTCAGCTTCAGTTTTCTCATCTGTAAAATGGACAGGGCAATGGCCGACCCGAAGGTATTGAGTTGGAATTACAAGGGATGATTACTTATAATATATGCATTTCACACGGGGCTGCCACTTCCTAACAGTGCTAAAACAATGAAGATTCCCCCCCCATATACTGGGAAATATATGGGGGGAGGGGGGCAACCAAACAACCAAAGCAAATAAAAGAATAAAAGTTCGGCAGTTTCCCCCTGGGATTCTCTAAGTAGCAGGCATTTAGAGACCAGATTCAATAGATATAAGTCACAAAGGCCGGCGGGGTGGGGGGGATCCATTTTTGAAGACTCTCTCCTGAGTACATTAAAAAAAAAAAAGAAAGAAAGAAAAAACTTATAAGCCAAAAAGAGGTTTCCTAAAACTCTTAAACTTTTTTTTTAATTTTTGCTATAGGGCACACACATTCGCCAGAGACAGAGAAAAAGAGAGGGGGAAAGTGAGACAGGATTCCCAGGGGATGGTCATGCTGCAATCTCTTCTCCTCCATTCTCCTCCCAACATTCTGGGCAATCACACATGTATCTTTCAAGTCACTGAGTTCAACACTCAAACCACACAGTTGGCCACGTGGGATCCAGTCTCGGTAACCACACCACTGGCTGGCCCAACATCCTTCAACACAGGTAGGTCTTCGTTATTTGCCAGGGTACCACATCTCTGACTTAGAACCAACAATGGCAGAAAGACGAGACGGGTGGTGAATTCATGGGAGCCACACCTCTTCCTGGCCCAAAGTAGGAAAGGTTCCCCCCTAAAGATACTTTGTGGAATTCAGGAGAGTTACACTTCAAACACCTCTAAAATCCCCCAAAGAAACTCATGAGGAAAACGTCTATCAGAAAACCAATCTACATTCTGTTTAGGAAGTGGACGGTGTCAAAAAGAAGCCTGATCATTGGGGCTGGCAGGTGGTATGGTGGTTGGGGAGCCGGATTCCCACATGGCCAATCACAGTTCAACTTAGACCTGGTGGCTTGCTTTCGCACTTTCCCTCTCTTTGTCTTTCTCTGGTTAAGCTTAAAAAGTAAGGGTAATAAATAAAGTTGCACAGATAATTCTTAAAAAAAAAAAAAAAATCTGGTAACTACCTGTGTGACCTTAAGAAAATGACTGAACCCACTTTGAGCCCCAGTTCCTTAAAGACAGTATCATGGGTGGCTATTTGATACATCCGTATTACAATACTACATATCTTTAAATGAACCTCACTGCGTCACAAACTTCTTTCCAGTCCTTCAGTAAAATATTATTACATCCACCAAGACTTCACATATAATCAGGTACAGCATCGTTGTTGGGTTTTTTTTTTTTAGAGATTTTCGCTATAGGGCGCGTGCACTCGCCAGACAGACAGAGAGAGACATAGAGACAGAGAGCGAGAAATCACCCCCCAGGGGGGATGGTCACGCCGCAATCCCTTCTCCTCCATTCTCGTCTTGGGATCATGGGCACGCACGCACAAGAGCCCGGCGTGAGTTTTAAGCCACTGGGTCCGGGACGCGAACCGCGGTCGACTACATGGGAGTCCAGCAACATAGCCATTACGCTAACTGCTGGTTCCCCCAGCATCATTTTTAACACTCTGGATGGGCATCGCTTACCGTTATACTTCTCAATGGTTACTATGGTACATAAAACTCCTGTTAAGGTTTTTAACACTGACCTCATATGTACAGTCCTAGCAATTTATTCGCTGAAAATCAAATGATTTCTAATATCTGTGTTGTCTGTCCATGTCTAATACTGTTTATATTATCTTTCAAAATTTTATTTTAAAGGCTAGAACCTCCAGAATAAGGTGAAAAAAAGAGTTACAGAGGCTTGTCTTGTTACTGGCTTTTATTAAGAGATTTTAAAGTTCTCAAAGAAAAAAAAAGAGAGAGAGAGAGTGAGAGAGATTTTAAAGTTGTCCAAATGCCCGGAATTACAACACATCTTGATAAAAAAAGCATCACAGATGTTTAGTTAGTCTATCCTAGTTAACCAAACTTTCCAAGCCTCCTTCATCTCGTTTCTATTGAGTAAATAGCTAACTCCTACAAGATTACATACTTCTTGGCCCAATTTTTCTCTATTTCAGTTTGACTTATAAGACAGTCCTGCTTCCCAGGGAGTAACATGACTGTTAGAATATATCCTGCATGTTATGATTTCCCACAAACTGCCATTTTTATTTTCTCCTCACAACCACCCAGAAAGGTAGGGTAAATACTACTACACTTAACTGACAGATGGTAAAGTTAGTACAAAGATCTACCTGGGGCCAGCAGGTGGCATGGCAGTTAAGGTGGCTGGACTCTACACGGCCAACTGCCCAGTTCGAGTCCCAGACCCAGAGGCCTAAAACTCACATGGAACACAAGTGTGTGCATGCCCAGAGTCCTGAGAGGAGAATGGAGAAGGGACTTTGGAAAGGCCATTCCCCTCAGAAGTGAATTCTCACTTTGCCTGTCTTTCTGTCTCTCAAGTACATGCACCCGATAGCAAAAGTGGAGGGAAAAAAGAAGAGGGGTTGGGGAAACCAGCAGTTAGCGTAATGGCTGTGTCGCTGGACTCCCACGTAGTCGACCGCAGTTCACGTCCCGGACCCGGTGGCTTAAAACTCACTCCGGGCACGTGTGCGTGCGTGCCCAAGATCCCGAGAGGAGAATGGAGGAGAAGGGATTGCAGCGTGACCATCCCCCCCCGGGGGGTGATTTCTCGCTTTCTGTCTCTCTGTCTCTCTCTGTCTGGCGAGCGCACGTGCCCTACAGTGAAAACCTCTCCGAAAAAGAAAGAAAGCAGAGGGGTTGGCAGGTGGCATAGTGGATAAGGGCACTGGACTCCCACATGGCTGACCACATTTCAAGACCTGGACCTAGCGGCTTGCCTTCTCACTTTCTCTCTCTCTCTGACTCTCTCTGGACTAATTAATTAATTTATTAATTGCAGTTTTAAAAAGAAAGAAAAAAACTGCACATACCAGGCAAACAGGACTACAGCTAACCTGAGTGGAGCCTTCTAAGGTTTTATTTTTTTGGGGGGGGAGGGGTATATTTTTAGTGTTGACTTCCTTTCAGTAAGTTAATAATCGGACAGGAAGTGTTGTTAAACTCTAAACAAAAGTGGAAAAATCAAATATGACTGCCAGTCCCTAACTGGCAACTCAAGTCCTCTCTGTCTAACAGAAGCGGGGCGTTGATCCTTCAAAAGGAACCTCTGCCCAGTATCCACCCCTGAGCTGGCAGGGGTGGGTGTCCCTGGGAGGCTCGAGAGAACTACCCAGCTGCTCCATGCTCCTGTCTCAGCAGTGCCCGCCTTTCTCGAAGCAGTTGCAGAGAACTGACTGAGCAGGTCATCTCCTTGTCAATCAGATACCTTCCTGATCTGCTGCGTGTAACTTGTTTCCTGCTCCATAAAAATAATCTGATAAGAAATATGGGACATTTAAAATAGGAAAAGCATGTTATTTCAGGAAAAAATAAGTCAGGATCTTCCTCCCTCGCACCCATGAGGTGCATTTCCAGCTGATACTGAGGCAGTCAGGTTGCAACCTGTGGTACGAGGGGATAATTGCAGGTTAAGGGAGCAAATGTTATTTCCCTGCACTTCCGGAAGTCGGTCTAACACAAAAGCAGAAAAGGCCTGTTTATTTATTTCTGGAAGAACCCAATGTATACAGGAGTCAGCAAACCTTGCCTGTAGAAGGTCTACAAAGACATAGGTAGTTGAGGCTTTCCAGGCCATTCGGTCTCTATTTCAACTACTGAAGTCTGCCATCAGAGTACAAAGACAATCACAGAGAATACCTAAATGACCAAATGTGCCAATAAAACTTTATTGACAAACACAGGCTCTAGTTTGCTGACCCCTGGTTACATTAACCAGAGCTCGGGTACTCTGGCCAGGTGTGAGCACAGGGTGGATATGTGGTATGTAGGCAGCCCACAAACCCACATTCCTACAGAGGCTAAGTAGATATCCTAGGTGAATGAAAACGGCCCTCCTTGGGAACCAGCAGTTATCGTAATGGCTATGTCGCTGGACTCCCACGTAGTTGACCGCGGTTCGAGGCCCAGACCCGGTGGCTTAAAACTCACGCCAGGCGCATGTGCGTGCATGCCCAAGATCCCGAGAGGAGAATGGAGGCAAAGGGACTGTGGCGTGACCATCCCCCCTGGGGGATGATTTCTCATTTTCTGTCTCTGGCTCTCTCTGTCTGTCTGGCGAGCACACGCGCCCTATAGCAAAAACCTCTCCAAAAAAAAAAAGAAAACAGCCCTCCTGGAGTCAGCTAGCGTTTCCCTAGATTTTCTAAAAGCATGGGCATAGCAATGTATACCAGAAAAGTCACCACTCTGGAGTGGAGGGTGCCCTGGCAATGAGCTTACTAGAGGGTGAGACAGCAGGGAGGGGCAGAGCTCACTCTCATCCTAAGGGGCAGCCCTCCGCACTCCAGACCAGGGAGGATGATCAGGCACACAGGCCTGATAGGGTAGGGCAAAAACCCTGCTTCCCTGCTATCCCCTGAATTGTCCCCAGCCCAAAAAAGGACTTCTAGGAATG